AACTCATTGGACGCCGCTTCACAGTGCAGATGGACAATGACCCAAAGCAGACTGCAAAAGCAACCAAAGAGTTTTTTAAGGGAAAGAAGTGGAATGTTATGCAATGGCCAAGTCAATCACCTGACCTGAATCCGATTGAGCATGCATTTCACTTGCTGAAGACAAAACTGAAGGGAAAATGCCCCAAGAACAAGCAGGAACTGAAGACAGTTGCAGAAGAGGCCTGGCAGAGCATCACCAGGGATGAAACCCAGCGTCTGGTGATGTCTATGCGTTCCAGACTTCAGGCTGTAATTGACTGCAAAGGATTTGCAACCAAGTATTAAAAAGTGAAAGTTTGATTTATGATTATTATTCTTTCCCATTACTTTTGGTCCCTTAACAAGTGGGAGGCACATATGCAAACTGTTGTAATTCCTACACTGTTCACCTGATTTGGATGTAAATACCCTCAAATTAAAGCTGACAGTCTGCAGTTAAAGCACATCTTGTTCATTTCATTTCAAATCCATTGTGGTGGTGTATAGAGCCAAGAATGCTAATATCCACAAGTTAGGAAAAGGGACAAAAGGTTGTTTTGTAGGAGTGCGGAGGGTCTGATAGTTTTCATTGCCCCTGGGCTAGACTACTGTGCATACATTGCTAAAATGCCAAAAAGTGTCCAACCTGCTGGTAATAAAATAGTGCCTGTTCCCAACCCAGTGTTGCTTTATAGTGCAATTTGAAAAAAGCAATGGGTTTGATTTACTAACTGCAAATAAACTGTGCACTTTGCAAGTACAGTTGCTCCAGAGCTTAGGAAATGAGGTGTAGCTTCAATTTACAAAGAATACCCAATCATGTGCAAGGAAAATTAAAAAAAAAACAGCATTTTTGCTTGCTTGGATGATGGAAGTCAGCAGAGCTTCCCTTCATTTACTAAGCTCTGGAGCAACTGCACTTTCAGAGTGCACAGTCTATTTGCCTTTAGTACATGGGAGATGTTGATGATGCATTGGTCACGGGTATTAACCGGCCTTGGTCAATGGCTGTTGACTGTATCCACTTCAAATCTTTACCACTTGCCCTCCTGAGGATTCCCCCCCCCCCTTCCTCACCAGGCCAGTTTTTGCGATACGGCGCTGCGTTACTTTAACTGACAATTGCGTGGTCATGCAACGCTGCAGCCAGATTAAATTTACGGCCTTTTTTCCCACGAATAGAGCTTTCTTTTGGTGGTATTAGATGTACGCAACGCATCCGGTAATGACCACTGCGCATCCCAAAATGGAGGGGAAAGATGAATCTGATTGGTTCCAATGGGTATCGCTCTGCAATACCTTAAAAGCTAACTCCATGGCCAACGGGCCAAGCTGGTCCAAACAGACTATTTTCTTGATGGCCCGATCACACTGTAGCGCACATAACCACTTGTCCTCCAGAAGATTTCCCCCCCCCCCTTCCTGACCAGGCCATTTTTTGCAATACAGCGCTGCGTTACTTTAACTGACAATTACGCAGTCATGCAACGCTGCACCCATAGGAAAGTTACGTCCTTTTATCCCACAAATAAAGCTTTCTTTTGGTGGTATTTGTTCGCCTGTGCCTTTTTTATTTTTTTTTGTGCTATAAACAAAAAACACCAACAATTTTGAGAAATAAACAATATTTTTGACTGTTTGCTATTAAACATGTCCAGTAAAAAAATTTAAAAAATCAAATTTCTTCATAAATTTAGGCCAAAATGTATTCTGCTCCATGTCTTTGCTAAAAAAAACCCCAATAAGTATAAATTAATTGGTTTACGACAAAGTTACAGTTTTTACAAACAGTGGTATATATACTGGGATTTTTTTTTTTTTTACTAGTAATGGCGGCGATCAGCAACTGTGGCAGGCATTTTGACACTGGGGGGAACTGACTTGGTGTCATTGACATCCCCAGTGACACCAATACAGTGATAAGTGCTAAAAAAAAAGCCCTGACACTGTACTAATGGCACTGGGCAGGAAGCGGTTAACATCTGTGGGTGATGTGTGCGATGTGTGTGCTTTCCACTGCAAGCACACTGCTTTGTATGGCTCTTCTATGCTCTGCTATGCAGAGCTATACAAAGCAGTGTGCAGGAGTTGACGGAAGAGATCTGTGTTGTTTATACACAGGTCTCTCCCCCGTCGCAGATACTCAGAGATCACCGGGTGCCGGCGAGTAATCACCAGCCAGGAACTGGCCATGAATGGCGGGTCAGATCCCTTACCCGGAACTGCAAAATCATGTATATATGTGATGTTGCACACCCCTGCCGCCTCGTAGCAGTATTTCTGCTGTAGGGCGGTACAGAAGCGGTTAAAGTGAGAAGCACATTATTATTAATATTATATAGGATTTATATGGCGCCAACAGTTTTCCCTGCGCTTTACAGCATGAGGGCAGACAATAAAGTTGCAATACAATTCAATACAGGAGGAATCAGAGGGCCCTGCTTGTTAGTGCTTACACTCTAAGGGGGGTGAAGTGATACAAAAATGTGGGGGGTGAGCTGATGGAGAAAGTGAAATACAGTTGTTAGGTGGAGGCAGGATAGGCTTCTCTGAAGAGAAGGGTTTTCAGGGATCACGTAAAAGTGGACAGAATAGGAGATAGCCAGCCAGTTTTGGGTAGGGAGTTTCATAGGATGGGAGAGGCTAGGGAAAAGTCCCGGATGTGAGCATGAGAGGCGGTGACAAGAAAATGTGCATCAACAATACATGTCAATGTTCAAAAGAAAACACACTTTGACGTAGGAGAACGCACCTGCCTAATGCTACAAAAAAGTCACCTCTATGCAAACTAAGCATTAAACCTGTGTGCATCCAATCCCAGCATTGTAGTGCACCCAGGAGGCACAAGGGCAGCGTCCAGCCCCACTGCCTGGTAAAATCTATGGCGAGCTGAAATATGCTGTGGCTAGACCGGGCTAAATGCTGCTCTATATATTACTCACATTTAGCGGCATATGCCTTCAGGGATATCTGCCCAAAATGTAGGTGTTCTGAGTTCCAGGCACACATCCCTGAATGTATGGGATACTACATTCAAGTACCACTTGATACACCATTCAGCACTATAGCGCTGGAATTGTACACATTGGGAGCACTAAACTGCTGGGATTGCAGGCACAAGGTCTAGATCACATGTGTCAAACCAAGGCTCGCGGGCCAAATCCGGCCCACCGGGCCATTTCTTGTGGCCCTTGCACCTCTCCTGTAGCTACGGCACGCCCCTCGTCTCTGCCCCACCCTGTCTCGGCACTTGGCAGCAGCAGAGAGGACAGAAACTTTCCATCATATCCTACACCTTTCTGAGCAGCCACAACACCCCCTCGTCTCCGCCTCCCCTGGTCTCAGCATTCAGCAGACTCTGGCAGCTAACTCCAGCCCTCCTCTGGTCCTCCTCCAGACCCTGCACTTTCTGCTTTCCAGCTCCACCCCCTGCTTCTTTCCGGAAGCAGCACAAGGTAAGGGGGATGCATTGTGATGTAAGGGAGGGTGGGGGAACTCTTGATGTCTTATGTAAGGGGGGGTGGGGTGCTCTGGACATCTAGTCTTAATGACACAACTGGCCCTTTGAGGGCAGCCAAAATGCTGATGCGGCCCACTCTGAAACTGAGTTTGACACCCCTGGTCTAGTGCAAGGGATCTAATATTGTCCTTTTACTGAAAAAGAAATACCAGCCTTATAATATGTCTCCCATAAATAAAATTGTCAGGAGCTCCCATTTAATCGTCCAAGCTGGTAAACTCCTGAGCTGGTGGCAGCCCTACCCTGTCCTGGGATTCTGCACCATTACCTTTTTAAAAACCTACGTAGGGAGGCACTTGGAACCAGGGAACACTTGGCATGCAATGTCTCCGGCTCGGCTTCTACAACGTTTCTAAGTTAAGAATACCAACCTCTATGGGGATGCTCAGTGAAATGCCAGGATGCAAATTAAAGCCACTCAGCAGGAAGGCCGTGTCCCCAATGGAGATGTACGACGATTGGAAGATGTATATGATGGAGTGTGCCCCACTTTTCTCTGCGTTCTATTTTAGAACTTCCTTCTGTATAGCGATGAGGTACAGGTATTAATTTTTTATGTTGCAGCAAAGCAATGTCTTCATTCCACCTTCCTCCATTTCCCAATAATTCCATAACTGCATTGTTAAAAATTGTGTTACAGTTTATAATTTCTGTTTAGAAGACAATGTACCTGCTCTGGGTGGAGTACATTATGGTGCCATTCATTATGAGTGCCAATCCAACGCGTTGTACATTAGAGGCCAACACCCTATGCCATATAAAAGGGTCATGTGAGTTTTTTCATAAGTTGCAGTGCATTGGCAGCCCATGGGCTACCCTAATGCAACGTATGTTAACACATGCCATAATGCATGTTCATAAAAGTGGTTGTAAACATGAGACATGAAATATGAACAAAGTATATCCCTCTATAGTGTGTACTTGTCTCAGTCCAGAGCACTACAAGTCATTTCTGTCCGATGTTTTGTTCCTCTGCTATCTGCATGAGTATCTTCTGACAGGTTTTCCTGACACCAAGAGGTAAAAAGGTGACAGGGGAGGGATCTCCAGCACACAGCCTGTGATTGACGGTCTCAGCTCTATTCCCCTGTACTATGTGACGGTGGGTGTGTCTCTTCCCTCCAATCAGTTCTCACTAAGCTTTGCAGAGTGTAACTTCAACTTCCCGCCCTCTGCTTTCTGGAAGCTCAGACAAGCTGTGGAAGCTCAGACAAGCAATTCTGCACTTTGAACAACTGCAGAGAAGAGAAGACTGCAGATTAATGATGCCCCAATATATCAGCCGCCGAAAATTATCAGCCGAAAATAGGATTATGGGAGTTTTGCCAATAGAAAAAATATAAAAGTGCCAATAGTGATCGACTTCAATGCAAAATCGTGTCCCACTGACTTTAATGCAAAGTCGTGTCCCACTGACTTCAATGAAAAGTCGCTTCCCACCAGGGGCAGACTGACAACTCATGGGGCCCCTTGGCAATAGGGGATCATGGGGCCCCTGTGTCCTCGCCCACACTCAAACCACACCCAAGAAAGTCTATGAAAGGTATTCATGGGGCCCTCTACTGACCCCGGGCCCTCAGGCAGTGCCTGAATGGTCAGTCCGCCCCTGCTTCCCACTGACTTCAATGAAAAGTCGCATTCCATTGACTTCAATGCAAAGTCGCGTCCCATTGACTTCAATGCAAAGTCGCGTCCCATTGACTTCAATGCAAAGTCGCATCCCATTGACTTCAATGCAAAGTCGCATCCCATTGACTTCGGTGCAAAAACACCCCACTATTGACTTCAGTGCAAAATCGTGTCGTATGTATGAATTTAGTTTAGTGATTGGGGAACCAAATAGTGCCCTTCATAGTGCACTGGGCTCTTCAAAGCATAGCGGGTCCTTGTGTCTAAAAGAAAGATAGATTTTTTTAATGTTTCTTGTCTACTGCAGATTAGGAAATAAAAGGATTGGAGGAGGAGTCCTCCTTTTGAGCTATATTCACACCTAAGGCACGTGCCAAGTTCATTCATCAACAATACCATTATGCAAGCCATAGATGGGTCGAAGATCGGCAGATTTTTTGGAAAAAAATGAAAAAATCGGTTGTTCGGTCGGCCGACGTTACCACCAACAGTAAAAAAAAATTGGCCGACTAAATCATAAAGTTCACCCCATAACTTCTGTCCCTTGCAGGTCACGGCTCATGTGCGGATTTTTTATCGGTAAAACAATCGGCCGATTTGCCCATCATTGCTGGGAAAGTCGGCCGATCGTCAAAATCGGACGCAAATTTTCCAACATTACTGATAAAAAAATGTGCCAAAACCCCGAAAAACGGCCGAACAATTAACCCACTAACAGTGCGAAATATGCCCGATTTTTTTTTTCGGCGAAAAAAAATCTGCTGATTTTTAACCCGTCTATGGCCAGCATTAGCCTGAGTTCCCATGTAATATAATTTCATAGCACCAGACACTTCGGATCTCTGATTAATAATGAAGGGCTGCATGTTCCAATCGAACGAAAGTGGGCCGTTTATGTGTTCGGTCAGTACGGCCCTGACAGTGCATTGTGATTGGCCAAACCTTTGCATCTGACCATAGGTCAGGTGCAATGCTTTGGCCAGTCACAGAGCATGATGACATAAAACCCCCACCCCCCTTGTGACGTCATCATACGTTTAGGCTATTAGTGCTTTTTGAGCTTCAGCGTCTAGAAGCAGAAAAAAAAATTGTTTTTGTAGAGTTTTTTGGAGCGTTTTTCCAGCAGAAAAAAAAAGCTTCTTACATCTTTTTTTCTACATATACTGTAAAAACGCTAATAAAATGCTAACACTCCCAAACACTCCTAAACACTTCTAAAACGTGACTAAAAAGCACTATTACCAGCGTTTTTTACATGGCGTTTTTTCCAGCATCTATTTAACTTATAAAAATGCTAGTGTGCATGGAGCCTTTACAGATTATGGTCTTCTGAATAAACAAGAAACAAAACAACAAAACAAAGGAGGCCACTGTAAGTGTGCATAGACAAGGTGCTGCGTGAAGCATCTACAAGCAGGCAGACTGGTCTGCAGATGTTGGCACATGAGATCATTGCTCTATATTAGCTGTATGATCTCACTGACTTTAGCAAAAAAACCTAGAATAAGCAATCTCGGATTCCACCAGTTTGGGTAAATTGCTATTTCAGTTTGGCTGAAGGCCTGAACAGTAGAGATGCTGCAATGATTTAATCCAGCAAAGCAGAACTAATAAAAGCAATAACACATAATGCAGCTTAGATCTTTTATGAGTCCATGAGGTCATACAATAAAGGGAACATAAATGTGACCGATAGACATCTCTTAAAGACCATCTTTGGAGAAGCGGCTAAATGCTAACAATTAAATAACCCAAACAGGTCACCGTTGTTTGCCTTCATGATCGGTAGGTTTATTAAATGAGCAAGAGGAGCTCTCATACAGGCAACAAAGACTGCCTAAACTACCACTTTAGACTTGTACCTACAGGCAGGGGCGGACTGACCATTCGGCACTGCCCGAGGGCCCGGGGTCGGTAGGGGGCCCCATGAGATCCCCCTGGTACCTTTCATAGGCTTTTTTGGGTGTGGTTTGAGTGTGAGCGAGGACACAGGGGCCCCATGATCCCCTATTGCCCGGGGGCCCCATGAGTTGTCAGTCCACCCCTGCCTACAGTTAAGCCTCATTATAAGCACACTGAATGTTACTGGTGCATGCATATTGTAGCTCTTCATTCAGGGCACACAGAGGACTGCAGAGTGCTGTGCTGTGATTGTGACATTATCATGGCCTGGCCATTCAAATGGCCAGAGCCTACAAACCTGGAAGGAAGACCAGGTGAAGACAAAAGCCACGGTAGCAATGACAGCATGCCGCTGGAGGGCTTCATATGAAAGGTAATGCTACCATCAGGGGCGGACTGACAACTCATTGGGCCCCCCGGGCAATAGGGGATCATGAGGCCCTTGCGTCCTTGCCAACACCAAAAAAAGCCTATGAAAAAGCCAATGAAAGGCATCTCATGGGGCCCCCACTGACCCCAGGCCCTCGGTCAGTGCCCGAGTGCTCGAATGGTCAGTCCGCCCCTGACTACCATATTGTACTAGTATCACATTATGGCAATAACCTTCAGGAGTTCCTATGGAACTCCCTACCCCAACCTGTCCAGCTGTTTCCTAATCTATCCACCTTTAGGCCAGTGTTTCTCAACCTTTTTGCAGTCAAGGCACCCTTTAAAACCGTGGACAGTCTTGAGGCACCCTATTCTAAAATGTGAAGAACTATTCTAAGAATTTTATATAATGCAGGAACATCCACACATGTAGGACACCCAACGTTAGAGGTAATTTATTCTTCCAAAGCGAATACACTTTTGCACACTGGTACTGACTAGTATTCCAATGTTTCTCTTCTCCCTCAGTTTTTCTCCATCACTGATCTAATGTGCCCCAGCACTGATGGAGAGGGGCAGGGGAGGGTCAAACTAGGATGCTGTGCAGGCAGCTGACATCCTCCTTATCAACTGATGATGTCACTGGTTGTCAGGACCCCAGCGGCTAGAAGGTTGTAATGGTGCACACTGAAAAACTGTGACTTAGTGTAACTAAAAGGCGGGCTTGTTCCACCCGCTGGCTTGTATACAAGTTTTGGACAATTTTTACACATTTTGCCAAGGCACCCCTGAAGAGACCTCAAGGCACCCCAGGGTGCCTGGGCACCCTGGTTGAGAAAGGCTGCTTTAGACGATCCCTGAAAACCTCTCTCTTTAAAGAAGCCTACCCTGCTTCTAACTAGTAAACTGCCTTTTATTTCCTCCATCAGCTCATCCCCCCCGACAGCTATTACCTTTTGTATCACTCAACCCTTCCTCCTAGATTGTAAGCTCTAACGAGCCGGGCCCTCTGTTTCCTCTTGTACCAAATTGTATTGTAACTGTATTGTCTCCCTTCATTTTCTAAAGCACTGAGCAAACTGTTGGCGCTATATAAAATCCTTTATAATAATAATAGTAATATATACACACACACTATATTGCCAAACGTATTGGGCCAGCCCTCCAAATCATTGGATTCAGGTGTACCAATCACCTCCATGGCCACAGGTGTATAAAATCATCACCTAGACATGCAGACTGCTTCTACAAACATTTGTGAAAGAATGGGTCGCTCTCAGGAGCTCAGTGAATTCAAGCGTGATACTGTGATAGGTTGTCACCTGTGCAATAAGTCCATCCGTGACATTTCCTGGCTACTAAATATTCCACGCTCAACTGTTAGTGGGATTATAACAAAGTGGAAGCAACTGGGAACAACAGGAACTCAGCCATGAAGTGGTAGGCCACGTAAAATGACAGAGCGGGGTCAGCGCATACTGAAGCGCACAGTGCGCAGAAGTCGCCAACTGTCTTCAGAGTCAATAGCTAAAGACCTCCAAACTTTATGTGGCCTTCAGATTAGCAGAACAACGGTGCGTAGAGAGATTCATGGTATGGGTTTCCATGGCCAAGCAGCTGCATCCAAGCCTTACATCACCAAGTGCAATGCAAAGCGTCGGATGCCGTGGTGTAAAACACACCGCCACTGGACTCTAAAGTAGTGGAGACATGTTCACTGGAGTGATGGGTTTGGCGTTTGCCAGGAGAATGGTACTTGCCTGACTGTATTGTGCCAAGTGTAAAGTTTGGTGGAGGGGGATTATGGTGGGGGGTTTTTTTTTCAGGGGTTGGGCTTGGCTCCTTAGTTCCAGTGAAGGGAACTTTTAAGGCGTCGGCATACCAAGACATTTTTGACAATTTCATGCTCCCAAGTTTGTGAGATGGCCCCTGCCTGTTCCAACATGACTGCACACCAGTGCACAAAGCAAGGTCCATAATGACATGGATGAGCGGGTTTGGGGTGGAGGAACTTGACTGGGCTGAACAGAGTCCTGACCTCAACCTGATATAACACCTCTGGGATGAATTAGAGCAGAGACTGTGAGCCAGGCCTTCTCGTCCGATATCAGTGCCTGACCTCACAAATGTGCTTCTGGAAGAATGGTCAAACCTTCCCATAGACACCCTCCTAAACCTTGTGGACGGCCTTCCCAGAAGAGTTGAAGCTGTTATAGCTGCAAAGGGCGGGGCCAACTCAATATTGAACCCTACAGACTAAGACTGGCATGCCACTAAAGTTCATGTGCGTGTAAAGGCAGGCATCCCAATACTTTAGGCAATATATAGTGTATATATATATATATATATATATATATATATACAGTTGTGTTCAAAATAATAGCAGTCAGACATCACTAACCGGATCAATCACTGTTTTTGGTAGAAATGATATTTCTCCATGGCAAATAATTTACTAGTAGGTGTAGCAGAGTAATAGAAATCCAACAGACCCAACCAGTCATGACATGCATGCTGCTGATTCTGTGTCATTGAATCACTAATTGAAAGGGGAATGTTCAAAATAATAGCAGTGTGGAGTTCTATTAGTGAGGTCATTCATTCTTTGAAAAACAGGTGGCAATTATTGCCCTTATTTAAGGAAGGAAGGCAGCAAATGTTGTACATGCTGGTTACAGTGCATTTCTCTCTGAAGTTTTGAGGAAAATGGGTCGTTCCAGACATTGTTCAGAAGAACAGCGTACCTTGATTAAAAAGTTGATTGGAGAGGGGAAAACGTATAAAGAAGTGCAGAAAATGATAGGCTGCTCAGCTAAAATGATCGCAAATGCTTTAAAATGGCAACCAAAACTTGAAAGACATGGAAGAAAGCGAAAAACTACCATTCGAATGGATAGAAGAATAGCCAAAATGGCAAGGACTCAGCCAACAATCAGCTCCAGGAAGATCAAAGAAGGTGTAAAGTTCCCTGTGAGTACTGTTACAATTAGAAGACGCCTATATGAAGCCAAGCTATCTGCAAGAAGCCCCCGCAAAGTCCCACTGTTGAAAAAAAGATGTGCTGAAGAGGTTACAATTTGCCAAAGAGCTCATTGATTGGCCTAAAGAGAAATGGCGCAACATTTTGTGGACTGATGAAAGTAAGATTGTTCTTTTTGGGTCTAGTGACCGGAGACAGTTTGTCAGACGACCCCCAAACACTGAATTCAAGCCACAGTATACTGTGAAGACAGTGAAGCATGGTGGTGCAAGCATCATGATATGGGGATGTTTCTCATACTAGGTGTTGGGCCTATTTATCGCATACCAGGGATCATGGATCAGTTTGAATACATCAGAATACTTGAAGAGGTCATGCTGCCTTATGCTGAAGAGGAAATGCCCTTGAAATGGGTGTTCCAACAAGACAACGACCCCAAACACACCAGTAAACGTGCAACATCTTGGTTCCAGACCAACAACATTGACGTTATGGAGTGGCCAGCCCAATCCCCGGATCTTAATCCAATAGAAAACTTCTGGGGTGACATCAAAAATGCAGTTTCTGAGGCAAAACCAAGAAATAGAGAAGAACTGTGGAATGTAGTCCAATCATCCTGGGCTGGAATACCTGTTCACAGGGGCCAGAAGTTGGTTGACTCCATGCAACACAGATGTACAGCAGTTCTCAGAAACAGTGCGACTACAACCAAATATTCATTAAGTGATTCAAAGGAAAGCAAAATCTTCAAACATTTTTCAGTTTATATAGTGAATGTTTGAGTTTGTAAAGAAGATACAAACACTGCGATTTTTTTTAACAGTCTAATATTCACTTTACTTCAATTTTTTTTTAGAGGAACAACACAAATTTGATATATTTTTCTTCATGTTTTGATTTGGAATAGAATGTGTCGTGTTCCATTTGTGTGTATGGAAATAAAAGCTATTAGAAGGCTTTTGAGCTTTATTCACTTTTTTCAAAACACTGCTATTATTTTGAACACAACTGTATATATATATATAATTTTTTTTAGGCTTTACTACTGTTCTAATGCAAAGTGCTTACTCATGAGCAGTACCTTGCCAAGAGACTCATATTTCTTTTTAGACCTGTCAGGTAGCACAGCCACAATCATGACAATCATGAATCATTTGCATGAGCAAAACAGGCTGATCAAGGACATGCCCGCAGCCTTCTGATTGGACAATACAGGAACAGCATCACAATGATAAATTGTACCAGAAACATGAATGCTGCAGCATGATGCACAATAATTCACTTTCTTTACACAGTAGGAACAGGTTTTGTTCTGACATATTTTGCTCTAGGCACAGCACTTTCTACTTGACAAAGCGCTCTGCTTAGCTCAAAACGTGTCAAAACAGAACTTGTTCCTGATGTCTATTTTAAAGAGAAACTTCAGTCCAGCTAATGCCAGCCCTGCCGTCCCCATACTGGAATCACCATCTCTGAAAGTCCAGTACTGCATAGAAGAGCCAAAGAGCTCTGTCTGGCATTTGGTACTTGGCATAAACCTCCCCAAGCCTGAGAAAACAACATAGATCCAGGACCTCCATAACAATACCATCTTTGTGCATGCATGTAGAATGCCCTGAAGGTCTCTGCTGGGTCTCAAAGGCTGGGTACATCTGAGTACATGTGAAATCCTGCAACACCTCTGTTTTTGTGCTGAGTTTCCTCAAGCCTAAACAGAGAACACAGATCCTGGATTTCAATAAGAGCACCACATTTGCTCATACAAGTAGAAAAACCTTGAAGGTCTCTGCTGGGTCTCAAAGGCTGGGCAGAGACCTTCAGCACATGTGAAGTCCTGCGGCATATCTGTGAGTGCACAGAGGTTCCCTAAGCCTGAGCAGACAACATAGATCTGGGATCTCCATTTTATTTTTTTATTCAATACAGGTACTTATATAGCGCCGTCAATTTACGCAGCGCTTTACATATATATTGTACATTCACATCAGTCCCTAACCCTCAAGAAGCGTACAATCTAAGGTCCCTAACTCACATTCATACATACACATACTAGGGCCAATTTAGACAGGATCCAATTAACCTACCAGCATGTCTTTGCATAACAGCACGACCTTTGCTTATGCATGTGGAAAACCCTGAAGGTCTCTGCTGGGTCTCAAAGGCTGAGCAGAGACCTTCGGACATCTGCGCACACGTGGAATTGAACGCAATGCCATTCTCACCTTGGCTGCAGCATAAAAAAGTCCAAAGTATGTCAAAAAAAGAATCCAAATGTGGGAGAAGGTGGAAACTGATGTCTGGTGCAAATAAATAGATTTTCAGGACAAAGGTGTTCTTAAATAAAGGAAGAATATTGCATCTTGTTGGGCGGCATTCCTGTTGCTGGTGCTACTGATGATGATGAGCTAAGCCAGCACCTGAGATGTGACTTGATTTTATGAAATATTTGACATCACAATGGTAACATTATCCCTCTGCTCTCTCCTTACATCAACATGTTCCCTATAAAAGCTGCCCCTCTTCCAGTCTGGGCCACGGATTACATGAGACAGAGCAAAACAGTCAGGAGCTAACATTACTTGCATTTAAAATACATCAATTTTTTCTATATAAATACATAACTGCATCCGTTCATGTTTCTTTCTATCCGCCTGTAGTTTCAAGAGTAGTTTCAGTTTCAAGAGAACAAAGTTATTGGACTTGTTTAATTGTTATCTCAAGCAGCAAAGTGCAGTGATCCATAGCAATCAATCAGCATTCACAGAAGCACTTTGTACCCTTGCTCTGTTTTTCCCGAATAAGCCGAAAAGAGGATGATAATTCAGAAGATAGAAGATCTCACTTGCTGCAAAAACAGCTTTATTGGTTCCATCAAAGTTCCTCTATAAAAGAGTAGATATAAGAATTCCCGGTCCCAATGACCTGAGACCGAGGGATCCTTCATCTGCTGTTTTATGGAGCAACTTTGATGGAACCAATAAAGTCACTTTAGAAGCCATTGATCTGCTATCTTCTATGTCATACAGTTAATGTCAAGTATATTTTATAACAAAGACGATTATATTTCATATAATGATACCTTCTCTAGAGGAAAAGGACTCAGAGCTGTGTTTAGATAAAACTAAAGTAAAAGGTTTAACTGTTCTATAGGATTCAAGATAATATAAATTAAATGTATTTATTTCAGGTACTTACATAGTGCTGTCAATTTATGCGGTGCTTTACATATATATATATATATATATATATATATATATATATATATATATACAGGGGCGGACTGACAACTCATGGGGCCCCCGGGCAATAGGGGATCATGGGGCCCCTGTGTCCTTGCCCAAACTCAAAAGAGCCTATGAAAAAGGTACCAGGGGCATCTCATGGGGCCCCCTACTGACCCCAGGCCCTCGGGCGGTGCCCGAGTTTCCAAATGGTCAGTCCGCCCCTGTATATATATATATATTGTACATTCACATCAGTCCCTGACCCTCAAGGAGCATACAATCTATGTTCCCTAAACTACATTCATACATACACATACTAGGGTCAATTTGGACAAGATCCAACTAACCTATCAGCATGTCTTTGGAGCGTGGGAGGAAACCGGAGTACCCGGCACAGGGTAAGTATTTACTGTCGTAAACCTTGTTTTCCTTGGGTAACCAAATGCTGTCACTCTTTGCACTAAATTAATTAAGCCTCTGTATTTTATGAATGCCTTAATCATGGTTACAATGATGTCATTGATGGCACTGAAAGTATTAATTATGAGGGCAGCACAGTGGCTAGATGGTTAGCACTTCCGCCTGGCAGTACTAGAGTCGTTGGTTTGAAACTCCAGGCAGGTGGTGCCATGTTTGGGATTCAAACCAACGACCCTAGTACTGCCAGGCGAAAGTGCTAACCATTTAGCCACTGTGCTGCCCTCATAATTAATACTTTCAGTGCCATCAATGACATCATTGTAACCATGATTAAGGCATTCATAAAATACAGAGGCTTCATTAATTTAGTGCAAAGAGTGACAGCATTTGGTTACCCAAGGAAAACCAGATTTCAGACAGTAAATACTTACCTTCATCTTTCCAGTGCAGCAAAACTCCACTCTGATACTGTGAAATGATCCCCCCAACATCCGCTGGGAAACCGACACTTCACCTGGAAGACTCCTTTGTCTGATTAAATCCTTGTAATTAGCCATCTAATAAGAGATGAGCTACTGCCGTGATAACCCATAAAGAACATGAGCTTTGTAAGCACAGCTGAGAGTGATACAATGCTTCATACATGAAAAGGAAAGTAGAGCTCCACCTGCTGGCTGAAGAGAATTCTACATTAAAGCGACGCTGCCACTATACAAAACAAAGTTTCCTTTAGGGCTCTTTTGTCTAATTAAATCCTTGTACTGAACCATCTGATAAGAGATGCACTGCTGCTGTGATAAGCACAGCTGAGAATGATATATAGCTTCATTTGTGAAAGAAAACTAGAGCTCCATCTGCTGGCTCTAGATTAGACTACATATTATTAAAATGGCTCTGTTGCTATACAAAGGGTACCTTGCAAAGTTGTCCCTGTAAAATACAGTGGTAAATACTTACTTTTCCTGCTGCCGATGGTGCCAAATTCCACTCTGATGCTGCGAAATGGTTCCCAGAAGTCTTCTGGGAAACCAAAACTTCTGTGAATATCGAACTTCTGGGACCCCTGCAGTGCCCAGTGGTTCCTCTGGCTGACCTCTCAATCATTACTGTATCCTGTAATGATTGGAGGTCAGAGGGAGGAACCATTGAGAGCTGTGGAGGAACCAGGAGGTCAACAACACTCTTGGAAGTGTCAGTTTCCCAGCAGATTTTTTGGGAACTATTTTAGGGATCACAACATCATAGCAGAGTTTGTCAGTGCATGCATGCAAATATATTGTTGTATATTACAGGGAGAGCTTTGTTTCCTTCTTATAGCAACAGAGCTTCTTTAAAAAGGTGTAGTTTTGTCTTCTACCAGCAGGTGGAGTCCTGGTTTCTGTTTCATATGTGAAGCATTGTATCTCAGCTGTGTGTAAAAAGCCCATTTTCTTATCCCAGCAGCAGCACATCTCTTTATCAGATGGCTCAGCACAAGGATTTAATTTAGACAAATGAGCCCTTTGTTTTGCTCTCCTGTCTCTTTAGCTAACCCGTGGTGCTTTGAGAATTCAATTTTAATTTCATTATGAAGCCCTACATACATAAAGACTTATCGACTAAAAAAAAAAAAAAAAAAAAAAACTGACCTAAAACAAATACAGGTAAATGTTACACATGGGCCATCCAAATGGGTCTGCCTGTCTGTTTTTCAGGCAGACTTCATCTAACCCTCCATTTTCCTCTAAGGGTCGTATCCCGAGCCCTGTATAGCAGTATAAAGCTGATAAGGGTTCTAACACCAGCCCACTAAAAAACAATAGGGGGATTGGTTTAATGAATAGGAGGATGTAACCAATGATCATATTATTTGCAAATTCTCTCCAGCTTTCCTTAGAATTCTTACAGTGCATCTCTTGTTACAAAGCCATATATATAAATATTTCCTCTGCTCCTTAGCTCCATCTAGCGTCCAAAATATGATATTTTATTACTGCTTATATGTAAAAAAAACATTCAGAAGAGAAAAGTCTTAAGAACATTTGTTTTTGCCCAGATCACACAGAACAAACGTACATGCAGATTCACTGGAGGACTGGCTATACAATTTTTTTACAAATAGACTCCTTTGCCTTTTTCGAACAGCTCTCTCAGCCTATCAGTTAAATCCTTCCTTTCATCCTATTACCTGCACACAAAAAAACTCAGTTGTAATTTGATAGGTTGCCGAACTTGCCGAAAGTGCTTTCCCTCCGTCTCTTCCTTCCTCCAGTTTTTGCACAGCAACCTCCAATGTGACTTTATTTTCCACGGATGCAAATAGATACAGGAGAGTGACCAGTAAGATTGATTCAGTGGCTGTTTACGTCTATGTGGATGCATTACACAGTTTATGAACCGTGACAAATGCGCATTTTGT